TTTTTTTTTTTTTTTGCTGTTGTTGTTGCAGTTTGCTTGGGGCCAGGTTTGAACCCACTATCTTTGGTATATGGGGCCGGCACCCTACTCACTGAGCCACAGGTGCTGCCCTGAAGCACAGTTTAAAAATTTTTTATTATTTACTTGCTTTTTGAGACAGTTTCATTCTGTTGCCCTGACTAGAGAGCTGTGGTGTCATGGCTCACAGCAACCTCAAATGCTTGGGCTCAAGTAATCCTGCCTCAGCCTCCTGAGCAGCTAGGACTATAGGTGCCTGCCACAACACCCAGCTAATTTTTCCAATCTTTACTAGAAATGAGGTCTTGCTCTTGCTCAGGCTGGTCTCAAACTCCAGAGCTCAAGTGATCCTCCTGCCTCAGACTCCCAGAGTGCTAGGATTACAGGTGTGAGCCATCGTGCCTGGCCTTATTTTTTATTTTATTTTTTTGCAGTTTTTGGCTGGGTTTGAACCTGCCACCTCCGGCATATGGGGCTGGTGCCCTACTTACTTGAGCCACAGGTGCCGTGCCTTATTTTTTAATTTTTGAGACAAAGGCCTTACTCTTTCACTCAGGCTGGGGAGCTGTGGTGTGATTATAGCTCACTGCAGCCTCAAACTCCTGGGCTCAAGGGATCCTCTTGCTTAAGCCTCCCAGGTAGCTGGGACTACAGGTGCCTGCCACACGTCCAGCTAAATTCCCCAAATCTTGATAGGAATTAAGGTTTCTGTCAATAACTGAATCCTGTGTATAGGTAGAATGAAATTCACATGTAACTTCTGAGAAAAAAAATCAACTCTGTGTCAGGACAATTTTTAAGGGCCTCTAGGTGGCTTGAAACTCTCACCCCATATTCTAGACAAGCTCCTTGCTTAACATCAATCCCTCATCCTCCGTGAGAATCTCCTGGTGAAGCTCAGAGCCAGGCCTGAGAAAGAAGCAGGAAGGATAAAGCCCCGTCCAAAACATCAGAAAGCATACCAAGGCGGCAGGCAGAAAGAAGCTGGGCTCAGGGCCACTGACCTTGTAGAGACGATCGTTCTTGCAGAGCTCCACACTCTGGGCCCACCGATTACTGCCCTTATACAGGTTGGCTGCGAAGCGCCGGAATTCCATCAGCTCATGCTTCTCCAGCTGCTGAGCCAAGCCAATATGGTCAAAGTTGTCATAGGCGTCGACAGATGCCCTTAAGCCCTGGGAATAAAACCTTTCAATGAGGGATGAGACACCATGGCATGGGCTGCCTGCACAGTGAGCAGACACATGGGGTCCCCAGAGGCCACTGCAACCTCAGCCACCTCCGTGTATCCGCTGGTGCCCCAAGGGGCCTATACACCCTCCTGTGCAGTGAGCAGACACATGGGGTCTCTGGGGGTCACTGCAACCTCCACCACCTCTGTGTATCTGCTGGTGCCCCGAGGGGCCTACACACCATCCTGCACAGTGAGCAGACACATGGGGTCCCCAGGGGTCACTGCAACCTCCACCACCTCCACGTATCTGCTGGTGTACACACCTTCCTGGACAAGGGCAGTTTTGAGAACAGGCTGGCTGGTGCAGGGGAAAGAGCCCAGCAGGGTCCCACTGCCCTGCGGGGACTGGACCAGACTGTGATGAGGCTCCCTCCTCCACACCCACCTGATAATCCTCCTCTTCTGTCAGCAGGTGGTTGAGCACCTCGTTCACACTCTTGTTGTTGTGGCTCTGGACTGACCGCAGATAAGGCTTCACCAGGGGCAGCTGGCCTACCTGATGGGTTGGGGGGAAGTGTGTCACAGGACACTGGGCAGGGGTGCTCCAGGACACACTGGTGAGGGTGCAGGTGGACAAGTGTGTGCACACCCTCTTGAATAGGCCAGCTGCAGGAGCCAGGGCACCTTCTGGACACCTGGAACCAACAGGCCCCACCACACTCCCTAAGAGGATGGTCTGGGCCATTTGGTAGACTTTAGTGTCACCTGTAGACATTTTGGGTGGATGCAAACCTGTAGGGGCACACCTCAGATCTGGGGCTTTTTGTTCTGGACCACCACAATGAAGCAAGTCACAAATGCCTTGTTCTCCCACTGCACATACAAGTCATGTCTACAGCACACTGTGATCCATTAAACATACAACAGCAGTGCGTCTAAAACCGGTGTATATGCCTTAGTTAAAAAATAACTCACTGCTAAGAATACTAGCATCGCCTGAGCCTTCAGAGGTCCCTGGTGTTCTGCTGGTGGAGGCTTTGATGGCTGCTCCTGGATCAGACAGAGGTTGCTGAGGGACGTGGTGGCTGTGGTGGCCATTCCTAAGACTAAGGCAGGAGGGCCTGCTGGCTTGTTTCCCTTTCATCAAGGACCACTCTGTCCCATACGATGCTGTTGGATGGCACTGTACCCACACAGCTTCCTTCAAAGTCAGCATCAGTCTGCTCAAGCCCTGTCACTGTTCATCGACAGAGTTTACTTAATAGTCTAAATTCTATGTCATTTCAACAAGGCTCACAGCATCTCCAGGGGCAGTAAGTTCCGTATCAAGAAACCACTTTCTCTGCTCATCCCTGAGAAGCAACTCCTCACCTGTTCAAGTTTTCTCATGAGACTATAGCAATTCAGCCCCGTCATTTGGCTCCCACTTTTTTTTGGTGGGGGGAGGACAGAGCCTCAAGCTATCCCCCTGGGTAGAGTGCCGTGGCATCACAGCTCACAGCAACCTCCAACTCCTGGGCTCAAGCGAGTTTCTTGCCTCAGCCTCCCAAGTAGCTGGGACCACAGGCGCCCGTCACAATGCCCAGCTATTTTTTGGTTGTAGCCATCATTGTTGTTTTTGGCGGGCCCGGGCTGGATTCGAACCTGCCACCTTAGGTGTATATGGCTGGCACCTTAGCCACTTGAGCCATAGGTGCTGAGCCAGGCTCCCACTTTTAATTCTAATTCTTCAGTTTCCACCACATCTGCTGTTACTTCCTCCGCTCGAGTCTTGAACCCCTCAGAATCATCTGGGAGCACCAGAATCCACTTGCTGATTTTGGTATTTTGACCTCTACTATTGGACCATAAATATGTTTTTCCTCTTCATGTATTGGTGCATGTATTATTTTGAATTTTTTGAGACATAATAATTACACATACTGGGTCTATGCAATATTTTGATACATGTGTGTAATGCGTAATGATCAAATAAGGGTAACTGAGATGGCTCATCGCCTCAAACATTTATCATTTCTTTGTGTTGAGAACATTTCAAATCTTTTCATCTAGTTATTCAAAAATATACAATAAATTATTGTTAACTGTAGTCAACCTACTGTACCACCAACACTGGAACTTGTTCTGGGTTTTTTTACCCATTAATCAACCTCTCTTCATCACCTCTCTCCTGCCCCATCATTCTACTCCTACTTCCATGAAGTCACCTTTTTCAGCTTCTACATAGGAATGAGAATATGCAATATTAGTCTTCCTGCATCTGGCTTATTTCACTTCATATAAGAGAATGTTCTTAATGGCCTTTGCCTGGATCCAAATGTGTATCTTAAATAACAACACTTGAGAATAGATATTACTCTGATCCATGGACTGCAGGACGGGTATGGTGTTAGCAAGCAGAGAATGACATTCATCTCCTTGTACCTCTCCATCAGAGCTCTTGGGTGACCAGCCAATGAGCAGGAATCTTTTTTTTCTGAGCAGTAGGTCTTAACAGTGGGCTTAAAATATTCAGTAAACCATGTTGTAAATAGATGGGTCATCACCCAGGCTTTGTTGTCCCATTTCCAGAGCACAGGCAGAGGAGATTTAGCATAATTCTGAAGGGCTCTAGGATTTTCAGAATGATTGTTGGCTTCTGCTTAAAGTCACCAGCTGCATTAGTCCCCAGCAAGAGAGCCAGCCTGTCCCGGAAAGAGAGTCAGCTTGTACTTTGAAGCTTGGAAACCAGGCATTGATTTCTCCTTTCTGGCTATGACAGTCCCAGATGGCATCTTCTTCCTATGGAAGGCTGTTTCATCTGTGTTGAAAATCTGCTGTTTAGAACACCCACCTTCACCAATGATCTTAGCTGGACCTTCTGCAGAACTGGCCGCAGCTTCTCCACCAGCACCTACTGCTTCACCTCACATTTCTATATTATGGAGACGGCGTCTTTCCCTTAACTTTATGAACTGACCTCTGCCGGCTTCCAGCTTTCCTCCTGCAGCTTCCTCGCCTCTCTCAGCCTTCACAGAATTGAAGACTTGGAGCCTCGCTCTGGATTAGGCTTTGGCTTAAGGGAACGTTGACTGGTTTGATCTTCTGTCCAGACCACTCAAACCTTCTTCATCTCAGCAATAAGGCCATTTCGCTTTCTTACCATTCACTGGTTCACTGGAGTATCATTTTTAATTTCCTTCAAGAACTTTTGCTTTGCATTCACAGCCTGGCTGCTTGGTGCAGGAGGCCTGGCTTTGGCTAACCTCCTTCCTTACTAAGCCTCATCAATTTCTAGCTTTTGATTCCTTTCACTTGAATCCTTGGAGGTCACTGTTGGGTTACTGATTGGCTTAATTTCAATACTGTGTCTCAGAGAACAGGGAGGGGACAGCACATGTGTCAACCAAGTTCACTGCCTTATATGGGTGTGGTCTGTGGTACCCCCAAACAATATTAACATCAAAGATCACGGATCGCAGATGAGCACAGCAGATACAATAATAATGAAAAAGGCTGAAAAACTGCCCCAAATTACCAAGCTGTGGCGGACACAAAGTGAGCACATGCTGTTGGAAGGTTAGCACTGCAGACTTGCTCCACACGGGGTGGCTGTGAATCTCCAATGTGTAGAAGTCTCAGCATTTGAGCAGTGCAGGGAAGCAAAGCGACGAAACAAGGGATGCTGCTGCATCTGATGCCTGAACAGTCTGGCAAGTTAAACTTTGAAATTGGCCAGGGGTCATCTCAAGAACCATTTCTGAAGGTGCCACTATGATCACCATGGCAGAGTGAGCCTGGCACTCCCTCTTCTGGGCTTGGGGTTTTGGGTGATTCACCTCTGAGAAGAACCTGACTGTGCGGGTGTGGTCCAGCCGGGGAGACAGTGCCTGCAGCAGGTCATTGATGAGCAGAGGCTTGTAATCCAGATAGAACTGCAGGGCTCTGTAACACAGCTCGACATTGGCAACCTGGGATGAGAAAACGGCTGGTCAGTCCCTGCCCCATCTCCTGATGCCCCATGGCCCCTTCCCAGTGAGGCCGGACACTGCCCTGAGTGCCAGCCCCACTCGCTGCAGCATCTCCTCAGCACTGGTGCTTCTCTCACAAGGTGGGGCCTTGTCTCCTGCCTCAGGCGAGCACCTGTGCCAGTACCTGGGATGGGGTGACACCACCAGTATCTGCTGAGTGAATGAGTGTAATCGGCCAGAACAAACCACAGCAGGAAAATCAAACAGCAAGATGTGTTTTCATTCAAGCAGCAAGATTCCTCTGCCCTCCCTGGAAAGGTCAGTCGGAGCTGTGAGCAGGTGGGCAACACACCCCTCATAGTCCCAGTGCTTCTGAGCCAGGGGGCCTGAGGCACTCAGACTCTAAGTGAGCCTGGACAGCTTGCCCAGGCTGAGCAGGTTCCTGCGGAGAGGGCAGGACACTCGGGGCAGACCCCATGCCTGTCCTCTTGGGTTTCAGGTTCCAGCCAGGCCGCCATGTCTCTTGGCACTTACCCCATTGGTCATCACTCTCTTGTTGGGCAACGTCACTGGGTGGCTTCCTGTGGCACCAATGCCTAGGGCCTGCACACAGTTCTACTATTCCAAGGAGCAAGGCAATTCCTACCATCTGGAAGAGCATGAGCCCAGCCAGGAGTAGTGAACGTGTCTACAAGTGTATAGGGTTCTAGGGCTGTGTGTGTGGCACAGCTGGTGCTGGAGCCACCATGGGGACAGGAGCTGGGCACCACAGAGCCTCCAGCAATGCAAAGTTCTGGGGACTGGGCAGCAATGTGGGGCCCGTTGGGGTCCGCAGACCACAAGTGAACACAGCATCATCACCACCCTCTGAGTTGCTGACAACGCCAGCTTCTTCCTCCTCTTCCCCTAGAAGGCTACAGTACTCACTGTCACCACAGATTCTGACCCAGAGGGGCTACAAGGATGCAGAGCGATGACCCGGCCCTATCACAAAGCTTCACCTGTGGCAGCAGCCAGCCCTGGCTGCTGTGGATATGCTCACACAGGAGCCCTGCTGCCTGCCACCCTCTGGCCTGGCCTCTTACTCAGCAGCAGGGCCAGACCAGGGGTGTCTCAGCTGAGTATGTTATATATATATAAGCAGATGGGTGTTGGGATGTGACACAGTGCTGAGGAGCTCAAGTTCCCCTCTGTGTCGAGTCACCTCCTCTGAGCCCTACTGGCCTCCCCTGCCAACCGCATGGCTCCTCAGGTTTCTGTGTAATGAGAAGAACCCAGTCCTAGGACAAGCCTGTTTCACGGAGGCTCGTGAGCACAGTGTGGGTGTCAGCAGAGCTGCGCTGGGATGCTGCAGCCTCAAACCTTAAACTAGTTCAGGCAGCACGACTGGAAAGCCGTGTCTCTCCCGTGGACAGTTTAAGGCACCTCACATCTCAGTCCAGTGCCGAGGCCTGCAATGGACATGTCCTTTGTGGGCTAAGCTGCTGGGTCTGGGCCCCTTGTCACCCAGGACACAGCAGCAGGCCCTCTGGAGCATGTGCTGTCCTGTCTGGGGGACTGGCCTCTGCAGTGCCCTCTGGAGCTGTGTGGCAGACAGTGTGGTGTGAGGACACGAGCCACTGTCTAGACGTGAGCAGGGCTGTGCCCACCAGTGCAGTCGGCACGGACAGTCATTGCTGTGCCCATGATGAGCACACAGGGCACATCGACTCAGTCAAGCCCAGAGGATGGCCACATTCCTGTTTTGTAGGAGAGGAAACTAAGACTCAAAGATTTTGTCAAGAACTTCAGGATGACCAGCTGGTGTCCTCTGAGCTCCAGTTCCCGGGCTCCTGACAATGGCACTGTACCAGCTGATAGCGGCACCCCCTGATGCCAGGCACCCACTGCCCATCACTGGGTAGGAAGGAAATGGTATGTCCGTCTTATCAGTGGGAAAACTGAGGTTCATGGCACTGACACCTGTAGCCCATAGTGGCAGAAACAGCAGATGGCTGATCTGGGATTCCACGCTGAGCCAGCAGGGCTGTGCCTGGCCTGTCAGTCCCTGGCCCAGGGCCAAGCAGACTCAGAAGCACCTGCTGCATGCCCAGAACACAGAGTGGCTGGCCCTCCCCTCCTGGGCCACTGCATGAGCTCACGCCTTCCTGCCCCTCACATCTGCGCTGACGGGCTGTCTCCACACAGCAGCAGAGACATGGTACATTGTGTGAAGAACTTGAGCCAGTGTGTCTCAGCTGTCCTGCTGTGGCGTGCCACTAAGAAGCAAAGCATTGCCACGCTGCCACTTCAACCACAGCACAGCAGATTTAAAGTGCACCCTTCTCTCAGAGAAATGAGAATAAGGAAAAGTCCATCAGGGGTGATCAAGTCTGGATTTCCCAACACCTGGACGTATCTACCTGGGACCAGTCACACATGTCGGGCTGTGGTGATGTGATCTACCAACAGTCTGAGGTCCCAACTCAGACTCCTCATGTGCCACCACGCCGAGGACACAGGTGTCCTCCACCAAGAAGCCTGCATGCATGTCCCTTGGGCACACAGTTCTTAGGGAGAGCAGAGGCTACAACCTCACCTGGCCCACCCATGCCCACCCTCAGCAGCTGCATGTGGGGGAAGCATGAGAGGCTCTGCTCCCTGCCATGAGGGGCTTCTGGGTCGTCCCTGTTCCTGGTCTGAGTGTGAGAGGACGGAAATAGCAACAATGCTGCCTTTCCTTGGCAGAGAGCAAAAGGGAAGAGAGTTTTGGATGATTATTTACCCAAGGTCAAGGGCACAAAACTAAGACATTTGGTGCAAAGAGACTGGGGACTAAGACTAGAGAATTCCAGCCCCTTCACCTAAGACGCATGCAGGGCTGGGGAGAGGAGGGCCCCAAGACTAGACACTCACAGGGACCAGAATGCAACGTAACAGGCTTCTCGGTGCTCACACCCGAACCTGACACCACCTGACAGTCTGGCTGCTGCCCCAGAAGTCTGGGGTCCTGGCTTGGCCCCGAGCGGCAGCAGGAGGGACACCACTCTGGGGATGAGGGAGGCCCCAAGGCCACAGCCCTGGGCTTGCCTGCCCACCACGGTACAAGTTTACTGTGTCTCAGGTGCTCTGACACATGGAGGAAAAATGTCAGTTTACGAAATGAGAAAAAAATATATAACAGGGAACGGAAATGGACTGAGTATGGGGTTGGGAGTCTGGGTTGACAGAACCAAAGACAAGCCCAGGAGGCCTGGCCATGAGGGAGCAGCGGGGAGAGTGCTGCACCCCCTCTTACATTGGTGACGAGGTCCTTGAACTGACCTTCTCTCCAGGCCTCAGTGGGGTGGGTGATGATGGTGAGCACAGCCTGGTCATACTCCTCGTACTTGTCATAGTGGAATACCAGCTCTGCCCAGAGGTGGGCCTGCTCTGCAGCTCTCAGCACCTGCAGGGAGCTAGGTCAGCCTGTGCTGCATGTGTGCACACACATGCACACACACGTACACACGCACACATGCTCACACGCATGCATACATGACACACTCACACATGCACGCACACATGCACACACGCATGTACACACACGTACACATGCTCACACGCATGCATAAACAACACGCTCGCACATGCACGCACACATGCACACGCATGCACACACATGCACATGTGTGCACATGCTCATATGCACACGCATGCACACACATGCTCGCACAGGGCAGACAGGCCGTGAGGAGGGTGTAGGACCTTGGGGATGTTGATGCGAGACCAGAAGAGCTCCAGGTGCTCCGACATCTTCTGCGGCTTGAACTTGGAGTACAGGATGGCTAGCTCTGTGAACATGCCCAGGTGGGCTCGCTCCAGGCCGAGGGCTGCCTCCAGCAGCGAGATTAGCTCCTCAAAATAGCCCTGGTCCTGGAGGGCCAACAGCCACACGTGGGACAGAGGAATTGCACACCTACCACAGCCGCCCCGCAGCCAATGCCTGTGCCACAGGAACCCTGCTGGCAACTGCCAATGACGCCACTGTCTATGCAAAGGATATGCCTGTGTGCACAGACCACAGCACTGGCCATGCAGCCTGCTGGCTCAGTTGCTGCTTTCTGGGAAACAGTGCTCCTCACTATGCCTACAGCCTCCTCTTT